CTAAGTCAAGGGCATTCCAATTTCAAGAGGGGCACACAACTCAATCATTCGGTTAACAATATCACAAGTCAACAGTCACGTTGCATATCCATGACAAGGTGTACATATTTTTAAAGTTCTGCGCATTCAGTAAACAAAATGCTTTTAAGATCATTTAATTCAGCCACAAACATATAAAATGCCTCCAAGCGAATTCCATTCATTTAATTTGGAGAGCACTACATACCTGATTTCCAACCTTCCTAAACATCACAAACTCGAATACCACTTCCAAAAACTGCACTACCAATTGAGTCACCTTTTAGCCAAGAATGATATCCAACAGAAAAGCCTCCCATCCTTCGCAATGTCATAAGGGCATACCGACAACAAGACCTATCTCAACTGATGTATAAAAATGTTTCAACCTTCTTTCTTTTCATTCCAATCAAGCTGAGACAAAACAGCCACTCAAACTATTCTACGCAAAATATGCATAATTTCCTTCACTCCAAATTCGACCCTGTTCCTGGTACTACCAAAAACATCATATTCCATACACATCTCCTCCAATCAACAAGACGTTCATATCACAGAATATTAGCGAATCGAAGCATCTTCTAACAAAAGCCGCGCAACTCCCAATTTGAAATAATCAACACCAATCCAGCCAACTGCATACACAAACAGAAGTTCCGAACATTCCTTCGCATACCACCCAGCAATACCATAACGATGCACTCGCCCTCAAGCCGACAAACATCAATCACGATGCCCAAATCCACCGTTTCTCACCAGCAAACAACTGAAATTCAATAAAAACCAACCTAAAATATACATACTATAACATCCAAAAGCTTTCCAATACGAAAAACACACAACCAACTCGATACAACAAGATAACAACTAAAAAGAAAAAAACCAAACTGACCCTTCTCCACAATTCCTTCCGCAACACAAGCAATACGCTACAAAACAGTACCAACTCGTCTCCGCCGAACTCCAGGAAATAACAAACCCAAAACCAACCATTCCTGCCTCAGCACATCCTTTTCACCGATGGCTCATAAAAAAACTTTCCGTGGAAGTGAGAAACAGAGGTGAACAGAACTATCGTTATGAATGTTCATTTGCCATGTGATCTTCGATCAACTGGCCGAGTCGCAACGTTTGCTTCGAAGTGAGCGAAAGAGGTGAACAGAAGTCTCTTTATGAATGTTCCTTTGCCATCTGATCTTCGATGAGCTGACCGAGTCGCAACGTTTGCTTCGAAGTGAGCAAAAGAGGTGAACAGAAGTCTCTTTATGAATGTTCCTTTGCCATGTGATCTTCGATGAGCTGACCGAGTCGCAACGTTTGCTTCGAAGTGAGCAAAAGAGGTGAACAGAAGTCTTATGAGTAATGTTCCTTTGCCATGTGATCTTCGATGAGCTGACCGAGTCGCAACGTTTGCTTCGAAGTGAGCAAAATCGTGAGGAATGGCTTGAGGAAATTTTGCTCTGGGTGGCTGTGTAGAATGTTGAATGTGTTATATTGAGGCTTTGGTTTTGCTTGTATTTGGATGAAAGGGGTCGCAGGTATGAATCATTGACATTTACGTTGTGGATGTGATTGTGGATGGATGTGAGAGAACGGTAATGGTGTTCTTTTCATGGAAGCCTGCTGATATACGGTTGAAAGGTAGCATTGACGTGGTAAGATATAAGGTGTCAGGGGAAGACGAGAATGTTTTGATGGGAAGAACAAAGGATTGATGATACGCGTAGTCGTGATTTTTGAGCCTGCAGCGGATTGTTTTAGGATTTAGTTTTGGTATGTGACGCACGTATGGGATTGTCGTATTTTGGTAGAAGCGCGAAATAGTGGGTAATTGGGTTTTACACTAAAGTGACTCGTGATAGGCCGATATGTTACCTGACGAAATTTGTGGAATTACGCTTTCTGGCTTCCGATTTGTGTCACATTCTGTTGCTGAGCGACCTTTTAGTGTGGTGTTTTTCTGCTGCTATGTATAGGTACATGTAGGAGATGGATGTTGGTGTAATCTTTACTAGTGAACATCTGTCATGGTGAACCTGTGTAATTTTGAACTGGATGTCTGTCTGTGAAGTGATTTATTTGCTGGAAATACATCTCTGGTTCGTGAACATTTCTGTATTTCGAATTTGTGTACTATTTTTGCAGTCACTATTGGTATGTTAAACTCTTTTAAATGAACACATGTGCACGTTCTTCTATCTCTGTCCTTGTCATCATTGCTAGGTAATGACATAAAAATACTACTCATCGTGTTTTATAGCTGTAGACATCAGGAAAAACTGTGACATCTTGTTGGCATCTGAGAATAAATGACAGAATTCAATATGTTAATGATTACAAAGATAGTATTGGTCCGTCTCAATATGAGCTAACCGAGAATTGGAATAATCTACTTGGTTCTATATTGAATGTTTTATAATAAATAAAAGAATATTGAAATGATGATCAAACAAACGAAAGTGTAAGTATTAAACGAAAATTCAATATATTAGACAGTACAAGTTGATCAATATATATTTCAATTAGAGACATAGCAGTATTCATACAATTTACTTATATCGAGAGCAAAGTCATACGAGAGGGTTTTGTGAAAAAAGCACACTCTTCTGTTCTGTTGAACAGGTTTTTTTTGTTCAAATATATTCAAATGTAGAAAGTCAATCAACACGCAGGATAGTCTATAATTACTTCAAATCTAGTAAAAAATCATATGTCCTGAATTTTTCTTCATTGCATAGTAAAATACATCGTATCTCTCATAGACAAATATCCCCCAATATTGAACACTTTTCAAAAGTCCTGAGAGTATTCATTTAAGAGACATTTTACTGTATATTAAATGTGAAGGAAGTGAAAACTGATTTTTTTTGATTTGTTATCAACCCTAAATGAAACAGGAGATCAAAAACATTAGGTATTTGTAAACAGTCTGATTTTCATTATTTGGTTCCTGAACCTTAGAGAATCAGGTCTACGATCATAATAATCACAAGGTGATGTTTTCAATTGTTTCGATTATTGTGATTTTTCTAACGGTTTTGATTACTTGGAATTTTTTATTCCAATGACCTTTTCATTTAAAGTTAAGAGAAATTTATAAGATCTACTGCTGATCGCCGATTTATTTATTAAAATAATCAGTTGAATCAAAGAAATCATATTCAACCTGTTTTCAGTTTAATGACATATGTTTAATAGTAAAATGACATTTCATTTCATAAGAAAATCTATATACCAAATGAATCATTTCGCTTGTCCATTCAATAAATTGTGGATGGCGAAAAAATAAATGCTCTTCTTAAACAGAAAAAAAACATGTGAGATGCTTCCTAAATACAAACGAAAATTTGAATTTATTTTAAAAATATATTTCATAGTTTTATAATAAATAAAAAATAAAACTCTGCTTCCAGTTTATTTACCATATGCTTTAGAGAAACGTATGAAATAATTCATGTATAGAAAACAATAAAACATGGATATACGTTTCCATTGGTTCGTACCATTATCGAATAAGTTACATAAATTTTCATTGGACCATATATATTTAGCTTTTTCATGTCATATTTAGCACTCTTTCATCGGAATGAAGGTTGCTAAATTTTTAATAATATATTTAGTTAATTTTAATCATATTTTTATTTATTTTTTAATTATTTAAAAAAATATATACACCGTACACTAGCGACATCTATAACTATAATTTTGCTATATGCTCGCTGTCGCAAGCTCGGCGGCCTTCGGCCGCCTCACAAGCGACAGCTCGCACATGTGTACACGTGACTGAAGTGGTCACTTTTTTTTTTTTTTTTTTCTTGGTCATCACTTTTCTTTATTTATTTGTATACTCAAAGCGATCAATCTTAAATTAAGAATACAATTGTCCATAAAAAAAAATGTCAGTGGAGCTCACAAATACAGACATGAAGACCACCATCAAGAAGACCATCATAATAAAGACCACCAAGAAGAAGACCAAGAAGAAGACAGGTTGCACCATCACGTTTTGAAAAAAGATTGTAAATACGATCATTGTTCCAACGCTTCCAATCTTTCGAATCCCAATTCTTGCAATTTTGGATCCAGTTCCAAGTAGCTTGATCGCCACTAAAATGCCAATCACGACACTGGTGACATTTTGCGCAAGGACGACCTTTACAATCGAGTTTCTTGCACGCGCCAGGTGTAGCAAACTCTTGTGGTTCTAAATGAAAATGTTCAGCAGTCAAAAAATTATAAAGGCAAGAGATTATGGCTTTAGAAGAATTCTATTAAAACGACAATGACAAACTCGAAATAAGGCGACTAATAAACAGGACATAGCTCAAATGGAAGTTATGAACATATCGTACCAAGATATTATTAACACACGATATTATCTCAGTAGTGCACAATGGAGTCAATTGAGTTGGTGGGAAAATTCTTCTTCTTTATGGAGAAATACATATCGTGGAGAAACCGAATAAAAGAACATAAGTATATGTTTATCATTCACTGTTCTTTTTCATACACTTCGACGTCGACAGACGTCGTTTTCTTAGAGTGAATATGTAATTTTTTATTTGCGTATAACTTTTTGATCGTGCAGAGGAGATGGATGGAGCAGATCAAACTTTTCTGTTTAGATGGAACAATTTCCAGATTTTTGACATATTTATCAGTCCTCTAATAGGAAGAATGCGAGGCATCCAAGAACGCCAAGGTATCGAAATAGTTAAGACAATCCAAAAAACTGAATGAATCAAGTGTGTCCTGGAAACAGAAGGAAGGCAAAGCATCTAAGGAAGTCAAGAAATCAAACTAAGTGAAGAAAACTTAGCCATCAAGAGAATTGTCGGTAACCAAGGTATACATCGACAATAGGGAATTTTAAGGAGGTAAATAATGGTAAAGAGAAGCATATTATCCACCATCAAGACAGATCAGGACGAACAAGAATGACAGACAGAGAAATAGTGTATGCTGAATAAGGGTATGCTCCGTCAATAGTTATAATCCAAAACATTATCTAATATCGGTCGTGATATTATGAGAAAGCTTGAAGTGTCTTCTGTTACAGGAAAACAAGTTAGTCTGGTTGATTGAGGTGGAATAAAGTCAGTTGATTTTTGTATTGTAAAGATATTTATCGGACACCCTGCATTTCAATCATCTAAGGTATGTTGAAGACACAAATATAATGTTCCTTATAAATGTGACGAATTTTGGCGACAATTAGCCAGGCCTTTTCAACGGACAAGGATAGTTATTTTACTCCACAAGTGTATGCTGTTTGAAGGATATGGTTCTTTTTCATACAGAATAATTTTTAGTAAATATCTCAGATGAAAAATCCCCAAACTCTTCAGAGCTTGACCATTTTGAGCATACATGCAGCAGTGCTTCCAGCGCCTCGCTGTAAAAAGTATATCAGAAAATGGTGGACGAGATAAATGTTTGGTTCTATACTGAATCGCATAAAAAATGAGAAATAACGCATCATTCATAATGCCGCCAGCATCGTTCTAGAAGGAATCAGTATGTTCTATCAGCGAGATAGTACTCTTTCATGTGGGTCTCGATTGGTGATAGATAGACAGAGATTATCTGTCGTAGAGCAGTGCTGAACTATAGGACTCATAGAGTCATTGTTTTTTACAAAAGATTACTACTTTATTCGTAGGCAGCATACCTGATTTTGATGCAGGTTGAGGTTTCAATGATGGTTGATATGACGCCGTTGTGCTCTTTGGCACAGAAGCGGCGCTGGCTGTAGATTGACTTGCCTGGTGAGGATCTAAATGAAGAAAAAACAGTCTCATTGTTAACTGTACAAGTTCATGCTAGCAATGATATGAGTATTTTCGTTTCTTTTCAGTGATGATCCGCTTACGAATCGAATATCGATTGAGAAAACAGAATAACCTAACTTCACAACCAATATTAGATTTGTAACAGCATTTGGAAAGTAAATCAAGCTTCAAATCAAACATTGTTATCTATTCTAGAAATGTTCCTGCGCCCCTCTATTGCATTGTGCGAAACATGAGAGTGTGGGTGTGTTAATCTTCTCTGCAATGTCTTCCCCCGTCACACCCACACCCATTACAACAATTTCTGATAGGCACCATTGAACAAGACTCGAATACCGTAATTCTATTTTTCTTGCGAAAATCATCAAAAGTTCTCGAGTTAAAATTCAAAGTATTCTCTGTACAGCTACAAAGTACTTCTCTGCGGCATATTATGGTTTCCACTCGACATTCTCTTCAGATGTTGCCTTCTTTTGCTCCTATCTAGAGAGACAAAGAACGCTTTGAAACCAGGTTTACATAGTAAATAGTACATATCGAATATCCTAAAAGAAATGCAATATGTAGATCATTTGGTCCCTAGTGTCAGCCGTAATCTTTCTTGGTGAAATTCTAGAATTAGCCAGAATCCTGAATAACTAGGTCGAAACCAAGTTTGTATCAGGCTCTTGTATATTTTCTTAAGTTATCCTTCCGTTTCGTCAGACTCTTCGTTGGAACAAGGAGAAGGGTCGTCTAGAGGCTTTCACAGACTCCTTTCAGCATCTACTTGGCATTTTACTATCATGATCCTGTCTAGATTTGAAGTTTTTTCGGATGACAATTTATACTTCAATATTGCATCTTTATTCTGAATTCAAGTCATATGTGAACAATTTCTAGAGCATCGAACAGGATTTCTAAGTTAGAAAGATCATTCCTCTTTGAATCCTATCCATAGATGTTTGATAGGTTTCGTTGACTTTATGGAGATCTGATAAAAAAAACTTCACATTATTCATGATTTAGTTCCACCGATTTGGATCAGGATACTGATTTCGAGCTTCTGTCACGGTAGTTAACTTATTCGTAGGAGAATCTCGACACGTGTAAAGCTAGAGACGTGACAAGAAGAATTTCAGGTTCTTGCACAGTCCAGCATCTGTACAGGGTTTCATTTTATAATAATTTCAGTTTGTTTATTTTTTGCTCTATTGAAATCGAATTTGATTAGATTAATTTCTTGTATAAAGCATCATGAAAACAAACGAGCACTTAAAGCAATAAGAGACACTTAGACATGTTTCTACTTATGATCATCGACAGATTCTCTACGGATCACTCTTTTCTCAGAGAATGACTCAGTGCTGAAACACATGTGTGACTGATGAACACTTAGAGTCATGACAAAACCATGGATGAGATTTTATAGAATCTTGCGCTGCTTTTTATTATCTATGAATTGAAAATCGATTCAAGAAACAAATACTAGCAACGTCCAGTTTAATAATGCTCCGAATTTTGACAGAATTCGAAATATGATTTCGTCAGGCTCTTGATTTGCATTGTACTACGTTTCAATCAAGAATTTATCCATTTATATCTTATGGAGAATACGTAGCATAAACGCGGCCAGAATTCCTATAAGATTCAGGACAAGCATTTTCAGATTACTATTCGAGACTGCTATGCTTTCTCTGCAATTCTTGAATTCAAATACGTTTGACAGCAGATCAGTTCAAAGATAGACAAGCTATAAGCTAACCTATTCAGCTATTTTCTAACTTCCCCGATCTTTGCAACATTTGTTTTGAGCTCATCTCGAGACCAGAGTCGTCAAGAGCTTAATTGTCCGTAACTTTGCTCCAAGATTGAGCTCCAAAACAGGTCAAGTCTGAGAATGAAATTCAGATTGGACATTACTGTAAAAAAATACGTTTTCTCGGAAATTCGAAGTACTTTGGAAACTCTTTTAGAAACCCATAATCCTATGTCAAAAGATTTCCGAACTCATATTGAGTTTTTAAAAATACGTCTTGGGTTTCTCGGTATCCAAAAGCTCTGAACTGCATTTTCAGAAATTTCTTTTGACTTCAAAACTTTTTCATAAACCCAATGCGTATCTTCCAGTACTTTGGGGTTGGCAGCATCTTTTTACCGAAAACCTTTTTGGGTTTCTGAGTATCGGAAACACTGAAAGCATTTTCCGAACATTGTGTATGATTTTTGAACATTACTCGAAAATCCCTTAGGATTTCTGAATCTTCGAAAAAGTTTCGGTACCCGATTAAGTATTATGGAAAATTCGAATACTATTCTAATTTTTTATTTTATTTTTCATATTTTCATCGTATAATTTTCTGGTTTAAGAGTTGCTCGACAAGCAGGACATAAACTTCACTTAATTTGTGTGAAATTGTTTTGCAAAAACATTAGAACACCGAGAATTAAAAAGAAAGTGTTTTGTTGCCGAGAGAACCTTGATTCGTTTTTACATCTTACGTTGTGTATAAATTTCAATCGATTATACGAAATTCTTCTGTAGGAATCAACGTGCTGCACTAAATCGACTAATCACTCAAAGAATATTATATTTCTTTTTCATTCATTCATGTTTTCTCCAATGTCCAAACATTACTACCTTTGAGAACAGATTGCAACAATGTGTAGTGATACTTTTGGAAGTTTAAAGATTGCTTCAACTGATTTGTACAGAAGATTGATAGATAAGAAATTATTGTACTCATGAGAAAATCTCCATTTCTAGAAAAATGCGCAAGAAACATTGCTATT